GTGTCATTATTTAACTCAGTTAAAATCTCAAAGTTGTGTGGGGAAAAAAATTTACAGTAAAGTATTCAAGCACACCTTCACAACACCCATAAGACTAAGTTGCAGAAACGTTTTGATTTAACACAATATCAAAAAGGAAGGATGATCCCAGAGACGAATTAGTTGCTCTAATCTGGAAAGGGACATAAGGGCAATTTCAAATAAATTGGAGTTGATCCTTCTGCAGTGAGAAAGATTGTTAAAAATTAGAAACCGTTGAGGACAGTTGTCAATCTTTATATGAYTGAACATCCCAACAAGTCTGCTTCAAGGTCAGCACATATTTAGAGAAACTGTCGAAAATCCAGGAGCTCCACCTGACACTCTGCTGGCTTCATCTTAACTTGTTAAAGTCCACAGCACAACAAAGACTACACTGGGTTAATCTTCACTAGGAAACATTAAATAAACTGAATTAGGTGTTGCAAACTTAGGCTTTACATGTTTTCTACCTAATAAATGCATCAATTGCTTTTTTTTTAAAGATAATGATACAAAGAAGACCTACATTATGATGGAAGCCAGACTGGGAGCTCTTTTTAAGTCGGAGGGTGAATACACAGTCTTGGACAAGTGAGTATAAAAGACTCTTGAAGTAAAAGAAAAAACATAACTGATGAGTAATATATTGTACATTGTTAGTTTTAGTGTACAACTGTTTTTCTTTAAGTTGGAGAACATGGTTAAATCCTTGACCACATAAATAACTTCAACTTTTAAAAGACTCCCTCTTAAAGGGAATCATATCAGGACTGTAATTGTGCAGTTCAGTATATATCTACACACATCCACTGTAATATCTCAAATCAGCTGTTGCTTTTTTATTTTTACATTTTTAAATTGTCTTTGTCAGTTATGGTAAAGCCATTGACTGAAGTTGGCATATGTTATTTTGTTGTTGTTAAAAGCAAAGGGTGATTGACATGTCAAACATGAATTTTACTCTTTCTGCAGTGTGTTTGTGTTGACTTTTCTTCCAGACTTTAGAAACATAAATAAAGTTGCAGCAGAAAGGAGATAATTCTCCCAGTTTCCCAGCTCAGTGAGTCAGAGGGAAATGAATACACCTGAATGAATAATGGATGCAGAATCACGCAGTATTGGAATCTGGAAGAACATATTTAGCTGTAAATTATTCACACTCATCCGATAGTTTATAAGACAGCAACAATGTTATATTGACTGGAAATGCTTAATTTGGTTAGAAAATCTTCTTTTACAGGAGAATTCTGTGCAGAGAAAAACAGACATATTTGACATAGAACTGCTCGGTAATAGGGAAAACTGCAGTATGTGGTATTGAATATTGAGATTACCACATTTTCACTGCTTCTCTTTCATTTGTCATCACGTTGCTCACAACAATCTCCATGTTTAGCATTTTAGCTGCTAAGTTGATAGATAGTTCATTCATTGTATCAACCAACTCATCGTGCAGAAATTTATTGGACTAACATTTATTACATTCCTTTTCAACATTGATATTTTACACACTGTTGCTGCATTAAAAAAATCCTATACAATGTGCTACCCTAATTTGAAAGATCTAAAAACAACATAATTAGGCRCCAATGGAAAAATGTCCCTTTAATTGAAATGTCTGGAGATCCTGAGACAGCTTTTGTCTTTAACAAGGAGAATCTATAWTGATTAAGATGCTTAAAGAAGAATAATATCTCTAAGTTGTTTTTTTTTTAAGTAACGCAGTTTTATCTTTTTAAGATGCCTAAATTCAGTGGGATAAAGACAAGAAAAAATGAAACAATAAAGCCTGTGAATTTTAGCATTGTGGTTATGTTTTTTGGTAGGTCATTTATTTTTTTAGGCTTTCATCTAAAAGTTGTTGGAGCTTTTGATTGTGTAATAACTTCTGCWCATATGACAATTAAATGTGTTTTATCTGTTTCTAGATTTCCAGGAAAAGTCCTAAAAGGAAAAAAGTACAAACCTCTYTTTCAGTACTTTGCCAAGGTTGGTACTGCTTTTTGTTGCTTTATTTTTGCTCTTAAACTCTTAATTTGAATTCCTCTTTGTGGTTAAATCTTAAAATGAATTCACTGGCTTTGAATCTTCTTGACCACGAAGCTAGARTGAGACATGTTGTCTCATCTCAGTCTGTAAAATTTACCTCTGGTTCCCTTTGTGTGTAGCAAAAACATTTATACCCAAAGATAAACAATACATTTACTTAGATAAATCTCACATTCAGAAATAACGTGGCAGAAGAATTAGTCAAAGAATTAAAAAAAAAACCCTTAATAGTAACTCTTATCCACACAGTTATAATCCTTATTGAAAAAAGTTGGACAGTAGATCAAKAACATGCCCACGGATGAGAAGCTTTGTTTCAGCTGAGACTCATTTGAACAGGGAAACCATGAATTCAGACTTTAAATAGATCTGTATCCTTTTTTTGTACTTCTTCACCCTCTGCCACACTTTATTTAATTCTTCTCCTTTGACTGAAGTGTGAGGAGAAAGGAGCTTTCCAGGTGTTGAYGGATAACTACGTCAAGGAGGAAGAGGGCACAGGCGTGGTCCACCAGGCACCTTACTTTGGAGCTGTGAGTATCTGTTATTTATTTATTTTTCTCTGCTCCTCTTGCGTGTGTTTATTCTTACTACAGGGATTACTTGTTTTGCCAATTGTTCAACCTCGTTAAAGTACAGAATGGATAACATGATAAAAATGATGAAATTAGAGTCCTATAATATATTGAATACATTTTAATGTGGCCGGCTAGACGCTGCACTGCTTTTTTTATAGTGTTAAACATTTGTGTAAAATATTGCTTCATGAACATGTTGATGCTGGTGCAATAAAGTCAGATGTATTGGGTCATTACTAACAGCGTAGACGTCCTTGTCGAGGCCAGATGGATTGTCCTTTGACTGAAGCCTGCTGTGAACASTTCTCCACAGGACAATGTTTGTTTGTTTGTTTGTTTTTTCTCTCCCCCTCCTCTCTCAACAGTTATGTCAATCACACACGTCTGCATCTCGGTCAAATTTGCATCTAAATGCTTCRTCGGTTTCAGATTTTATGTTAGCGGTCATATTCATATTGATTCGTTTGGTAGTAAAAGCTGAAATATGAATGCGTCTGCTCCAAGGATATACTGCAAAAGGAAAAAAGGGCCTGCCAAACGGCATTTTTCAAATTTTATTTTTGTTATGACTTGATGTGAAATGACCCTATGAGTCATCAATCTAGAATCCTGACAGGGCGTTTGAATACAAATTACATTTCGGGCTGGGCAGTGCTCATATTTTTCATACGCAGCTGCCACATATCAGTTGTGCTTGTTTCAGTGCTGGAAAAAGTGCCGAGCTCAACAAGGAATTTAATGTGCAGTCATAACATATCTTTGACTGGTGAAGAGGTTTCCAGAGGGCTTCATTATGCTTTGTAGTTACGTATATTAATAGCAATAAAGCCTAATATGAGCTAAGTCAATAACATAATGTGATCTTAGTATCACATTTTGTGTTAAGAAGTGAGAAAAAAAAGTACATTCATTAAATATTAACAATCCGAGACTGACTAAATCGGCATGTAAATTGCATTTCTTTTCTTTCTGCAGGATGATTTCAGGGTGTGTTCAGAATACAAGATCATCCAGAGAGATCAGTCTCCTATTTGCCCTGTGGACGCCTCAGGCTGCTTCACTTCAGAGGTCACTGACTTTGCAGGACAGTATGTCAAAGTGAGTGACACGTCATGCATTTACATGAAGATTAAGTCTGCGGACGTTTCAGCCATTCTACTCTTTCTAAAAGCCGCAGGCATGATTCTCAGGATAAATGGCTCAATAATATTGATAGCAGTTCTAAACTGGCATTTCATTTTCTGCTGGGACTACTCTTTATCTTCTCTGTTTCTAGCTGGTAATTTGTCTCACTTCAATGATTTTATTTCATGCTTATCACACCTTTACATATGAAAAAATGTTTCCAAATGTTTATGATTCTGGATGAATGTCCTGTCAAAGCATTTTGCCATTGTTTATCATAACACTGGACACCCTCTCACTGTTCCTCACACCAACTTCATTAGCATCTTGAGTTGATAATGAGTTAAAAATAGCAGTCATGCATGATGTGACCACTATTTCATGCGTTTGTGCCAAGGCTAGGGAGTGGGTTTGACCCTCCTAGCCTCTAACAGTACATTGTTAACTAATAAAGAGCATGCAGCCACAGTTATCTGAAAGTCTGTCATAATCCACTTTAGAAATGTGCTAAAACATAGCCTGAGTTTCAAGGCTGTCTGAGACATTCTTCACTGCCACATAAAAACACCGAGGGGATCCGAGAGAGCCAGTTTCAACGTGGGCAGTGTGAGAAAGCAACAGAGCAGTTCGTTTTTTGTTTTTTCTGTAAACTGAAAAGCAAGCTCAGTATTTTACACAACATGAGAGCTTCATCATATACCCAGAAGAGCTTGCAAGTAAGCAGCTCCAGTGGCAGAGTCAGGGTTCAGAGTCCATCACCTTCTCGGTGCCGCGGATCTTCGTACGACAGCCGTGGGCGTGCCGGCTATCGTGGCACTGCCGTGGAGCTGGGGACTGAGATACACCAACAACATGCCAACGAGAAAGAGGAGATGCAAGAGCTCAATGTCAAGTTTGCAGGTTATATTACGAAGGTCCAGGCACTCGAGCAGAAAAATGCCTCTCTCCAAGCTGAGCTGGAAGCGCTGCAGAGCCGTTATAAGGGAAGCCCCGCAGGCCTCGGAGACGAGTACGAGCTCAAGTTCAAGGAGGTGCGGGAGCTGATTGAAAGCCTGACAAACGAAAAGGGAGCAGCAGATATTGAACGAGGCTACATCGAAGAGGAGGTTGAAGTGTGGAGGCTGAAGCTGGAGGAGGAGGTGGCGCTCAAAGAAGAAGCAGAGATGATTCTGAAGGAGTTCCGCCAGGATGTTGACAGTGCCACCCTGCAGAAAGCGGAGCTCGAAAAGCGCATAGAGCAACTCGTGGCTGAGATCGAGTTCCTCAAGAAGCTGCACGATGAAGAGGTGGAGGACCTTATGAAGCAAATTGAGGACGCAAAGATTTCTGCTGACATGGATGGTGATCGTCCTGACCTGGCCGCCTACCTGCGCAACATGCGTGCAGAGATAGAATCTGTTGCTGCCCGCAACGTCCAGGAAGCCGAGAAGTGGTACAAGGGCAAGTTTGACACCTTGAAGGAGCACGCGGGCAAAAATGAAGAGCACATGAAGACTATGAAAGAAGAAATCACAACCTTCCATAATCAGGCGTCAGACATACAGAGCCAGATCGATTCTCTGAGGGCTCGCAACGCCGCCCTTGAGCTCCAGCTGGATGAAATGGAAGTCTCTCACTTGGATAAAGTGGGCAGTCTGGAGAGCGTCATCGCCCAGCTGGAGGCCCAACTCTGTGACACCAAACTGGAGATGACCAAGTATCTTCAAGACTACCAGGAACTGCTGCACATTAAACTCAAGCTGGATGCAGAGATCGCAACCTACAGGAAGCTGCTGGAAGGAGAAGAACAGAGGCTTGGAATTACCAAAGATAATTAAATATCGAGGATGTGAGCCGTAGGATGTTTAAGCAGCTCATGAAGAAAAGCAGCAGTGCATTGTGGAGCAGAGAGAKATCGCATCATTCTTCTTACAGAGACTAAAAAAAAATCTGTCTTATTCATAGGGCTGGGTATTGTTGAACATGTTCATTAAGAGCAACACAAATTTTGWTGAAATGATAAAATGAGGTAACAAGCACATTTTAACTGGTTTTCTCTAGTATCAGGACTGAAATGTAAGGTTTTTACAATCATTTTTTGGGACTTCTGTTTTAGATTTCCTGTGCAGATTAGATAAGGTTCATAATATCTAGCCCTCCTGATCTGCTATAATTTATTATTAACTCCATTATGCTCTTGTTTTCTGTCATTACTGATTTTCTGTTACTGGTCCCCTTTACTGGAAAATTCCACCTTATTTTTCAAATCCATATTCAGTCATTTTTTTATTGGCTCTCCCTGTCTCCTCTCATTTCTGTGTTTGGCAGCCCTCTTTTCTCCTTGTTCAGTCCCTTTTTTTTACACCTGCTCCTGCAGTACTCCAGCTAAATTTACCTTACCTCTTTTCCTGCCAAGTCAGCCTCACTGTCATGCCTTTGTCACTTTTTTGTGTGCTGTAGTTTCTCACTTTTTGTCATCAAACCACCTCTTGTTCAAGTTTTAGCTCTCGCTGCCTTCACTATAAAGCTCTCAGCTCAGTGCAAATAAAGTAGAYCCTCGGTTTTATTGTAAATGTTTCAACAAAACAGCTGTTGATCACTAATGTTACACTACTGTTACCTAATAAAGATTTAAGTGAGTGCATACAAAATGAATCAGTGATTTTATTTTTTCAGCTTATGAGCAGTTGCTTTCCTGTTTTTTCATCATGGATAACTTTGTCCTTGGAAAGCTGACTCACACTTTGTTGCTATGATAATCTGTTGGTTGCCCAACACACAACACCTCTTCTGATTCTCATTCAGTTGGCTTGAAACGGTTTCCCTTTTCCACTCGTGTGGAGGCAAATTTCATATAAATTTTACTGGTTAAAAAGGTTAAAAAAAATCATACTCATAATTTTATTAGTTTATTTTCAGTCTTAAAAATAAATTTGGAGTGGAGGAATAAATGTGCAGACTGAAGTGAGAGAAATTAAAAAAAAATGTCTTGGCAAAGAATTCCGGTTCAAGATGGTTCTGCAAAGCACTTTGATGAGAGAACTCGTATTTATGAGCTTCCACTAAGCTTGGTTCAAAGAAAGTAAATTGTTTGTGATGACTCAGTTGGCTTATTGAATAAAAGATTATTCTAACCTGTGAGCTGCATAAGAAAACATGCCGTTTCTTCCTTTGGTGATATTTGTCATTTGTTCAGGCAGGCTGTGACCTTGGCTGCAATACTTGACTCTTTTTTTTTTTTTTCAAGGTTGCATAAGGTTTGTTCAAGAATTCTCAGACTCTTTGGAAGAACTTACAACAGCTTATTTCATCTGTGTTAAAGTAAATGACAAACTTTAGGAGTGACTAAGGGAAAAAAATAAATATAGGGCTAATACATTTTTAGTGTGCAGTATACTAGATTTTTTTTAAATTTATAGGTGTTTAAATGGGTAAAGTATATTGACATTTTATGTAATAAAAAGGGTGCTCATAATATTTTTATGTTTTTTTCCATACTGTTGCATTGACTGCTTGAATAAGCTTTGACTGCCAAAACCTGTTTGATGTAAAGCAAATAAAAACGTGTTAAAGTGCAAATGAGTGTGGCAATTGTGAGAAAAAATGAGTTTGGTTTATTTTGTTTTCTAACTTATTTCCCCTGTCACAAATGTTTCACAACAAAAGTTTTTCATAAATTAGTTTTTAATATTTACATTAAGAATTCTATTAAATAAAACATACCCATAATAGATCTTACGTCTAGTTATAAAGCAATTTAAKGTATAAAAGCATTTTGCTGACTCATGGAGCTTTCACCTTGCAGCATTAAAGAGCAGTGGTACTCATGGGTCTTTTGGAGCTGTGCTGGCATTGAAGAATTCATTTATCAATAAATCTCTTTAATTTTTTTTCCCTTTCAGGATGCAGACAAGAACATTATTAAATTCCTGAAGGAAAAGGGACGTCTGGTCACTTCTAGCTCATACAAACACAACTACCCTTTCTGCTGGAGGTGAGACGTGTACATAATCCATTTTAAACGTTAAACTATGCCTGCCCTGCCTTCTTCTGACTCACTTAAACGAACAGCTTTACTTTGAGACTTTCTCTGCAGGGTAGATTATTCCACCCTACTGGAAATGAAGGTTAGAGGTCACAGATGTTGGTCTGATTAAACTGTGAACACCTCCTCTTGGAAGTCATAAAAGGGGTTTTGCACAGTAGTTGAGGCTTGAATTTTGATGGGCTTTTGGTGAACAGAGTCAGTGTTGGACTCGCAATTGACCTGCTGCCTCTCAAGGTGCCACCTCACGTTAAAATCATAGGGCTCATCCTGAAACACAAACATTTTAATTTCGAGTTGCCTAAATCCGACTTTATCATGAAGCAGCTGCAGTTTAACCTGAGTGAGATTAATTAGCCTCAGTACATATGCAGAGATATGCTCACATAGCCACTAGAAAAAAAACGTAGTTGAAATTAAACAATCTTTTTAAGCCACACTCGTTGGGGAGAATGCAGTCCTAAGATACTGTGCAGAACCCTAAATGTGCAACCATCCTATACAATTTATAGGATTTCTACCATTTATGTAACTATTAACTCTTGAGTTACTCAGCTAAGAAGTAAATCATAAATTTCATTTGATTTTCTGTGTCTTATTGAGTTTAATGTAGCATTTGATTTTCTGAACTGGATTATTGTGTTTATTTTTTTCAGGTCTGAYACACCCCTGATCTATAAAGCCGTTCCCAGTTGGTTCGTACGAGTTGAGGACATAGTGGACAAACTTCTGGAGTGCAATGGAAAAAGCTACTGGTAAGCAGTTTTCTGAACCAAGTGATAATTAATAATGTAAAATATAATGTATAAGGCATGACTTGTTACTCAAGAAGGAATTAAACCCTTATCGTTTTTCTTTTAATTTTGTTGTACATTGTAAATTGAAGATTTTTTGATTGAATTTATTTATTTGAGAAAAAGGGGCAGAAATCAAAAGATTTTTTTTTCTTCTGCTGCTGCCTTTCATTGAATTTATGACTTTTTTATTTATTTATTTTTGTATGTTGAATTTATGTTGTGTTTTAAATGAATAAACTTCATAAATAAATAAAAAGAATTAGCTTGTAGTTAAGTGACTAAAAAGCCATTTTACCATGCAAGTGGTCCTAAATGCTTTGAGTGAGACCAGGAAGCAGATGCAGTCCCAAAACAATTACAGCTCCTGCTCTGCACTGTATTACATTGTTGGCCTGTTGATGAAGGACATCCATCTTTGGGAAGAGAATCTTTGAATGTGAAGAATGGTGATGAATTTTAAAAAAGGTTTTGCAATGACTTACTTATTTTTTTAATAATATGAAACTGGAGTTCCTTATCTAACCATTTCATTATAGTGTAGATATTTTAAATGAAAAAATATTATCACAGTGGTAATTTTTWAAAAWGATTATGTTTCAGTATGATGGCTTTGTTAAGTGGTATTACCTATGGTGCYCCCAGGACTCTTTTTCTGAGCCACAGTAGCTGCCTCTGGTAATGGGACTGTCAAACCAAGATGAATGAGTAGCCGCAAGGAAGGTGAAGATGCTAGGACACACATGTACAGCGTCTGAGACAAACACACACCACTTTAAGGTCCTTATCTAAAAGGTGCTGGTGCAGTACAGCAAAGCAACACAGACAAGCACAAAATGGCTGGTCCATTTGTATTTTTTTATGGGAAGAAAGACGAAGAAAAATAAAAGATGTTGATCAAAATAATTAAATACAAACAAGAACAGTAGAACAAGTAAAGACATTAGTGGAATGGTGTGATCAGTTTGACCTGCAGAAATATAAGCGTATAGTAGCATGACTAAGGGGCACTAGGAAACCCAAGCTAATCCATCCATCCATCCATCCTCTTCCGCTTATCCGGGGTCAGGTCATGGGGGTAGCAGCCTAAGCAGAGAGACCCAGACTTCCCTCT